GGTTTAGCCTAAGTTGATTGATATTTGCTTAATAACGCCTAAATTTTTGCTTACTATAAATAAAAGCTTGAAAGAATTTCATGGGAGTGCTTTACATGTTTATATTTCAATATAATTTTATAATGTTTTGACTATCTATTGATAAATTTTTAATGCCATACAATACAACACATAATTAAATTATAAACCCTGATAATAAAAACTCCCTAATGCTCGTTCCATTATTTCTGTCCTAGAATTCAATGGCAAAGTATTATAAAAATTCATTAGTTCCTCAGTGAGACGAAAAGAGATTTCTTTCTTAGGATTATTTAATTCTCGTTGATAGGTTAAAGGCATGCCATGTTGATAAGCATGGAGAGCTGAACGAAAGAAATAACTAAGATTAGGGTATTGATAATTACCGGCTAAATGCTGACTAGTCAAGCTATTTTTAATTCTGTCCAATAAAAAAGTATCACAACGAAAAGATATTTTGGCTTGAATTCCGGTAAATTTAACTTTAAAAAGTCCTGAGGTAGTTGGTGGCAAATTAATATCTTTCTTGGGACTTCTAGTTGGTTTTCTCATAGTTAGTTAATATTTCCTTAAATAATTGCTTGATTTCAGTAGGTAAACCTTTCCGAGCAAAGAAGTTATCTTTACTACCATTCAGCAGAGTTCCATAAAGAGCAGGACGATTAGATAAAGGATTGGTGATTTGACCGTGTTTTTCCTCCTTGATTACTTCTTGTAAATGGTCTAAACCTTGACGTTGTTCTTTGGTGTTTTGTCAATGATTAGGAATAAAAGTTATCTTAGCTTGTCAGTCTGGTTTTAAACTAGTAAATCAAGTAATCGTAGTTTGTAAGTCAGCATAGTGCGGACGAAAAGGAACTAATATTAAGTCAGCTTGGGCTAATCAGGAAAGTGCCGAACCGGAACTTCCTGCCGTGTCAATAATTTGATAAGCAGCTTGGTTAGTAGAAACTTGCCGACCTTCTAGTTTGCAATTATTAACCCAAGTTTGGGAAGTTTGAATCGGATCAGTATCGATTAATTGAACTTTTTTTTTAAGACTGTTAAGATATTCCACTAATAAGCAGGCAATAGTAGATTTTCCAGTGCCACCTTTTTCGTTGGTAATAGCTATTTTTATCATATATTTATTTTGTGTTGTATTGTATTGTTATCGGTTTGTATTCGATTGAAAAAATTATGCTTTGTTCCTTGAATAAGCAAAATATTTCTAACACTTCCAATTTCAAGGTTAGGCAAAGAGTATGATTTTTGGTAATTATTAAGTAAAAAGTAGCCTGTTTGTTTACTTTTTCAATCTAAATAAAAGACTTTTAAGATATCAACTAACGGGGTTTTATATTTGCTTAATATCTTAGCATAAATAAGATTATTTTTAACCGATGATAGAGGGTTTTTTTTAAGGTTGAATTGATTTGTTTTTAGCTTATTTTCTAACGGTGGTTTTTCTATTTTTTCTTGATAATCAACTAAACAAAAAAATTTTCCTAAATTGGCTTGTAATTCCTGACTATTTTTTAAGTGTCAAAATCATTTTCCGTTACTGATAAATGTCTTATCTTTACTTTCCACCCCAACTACTTGCCGACCTTCTGACTGAATACTGCCGATATTTCAAGTTTTCCCTCAACCTTGATAATAAAGAGCCGAATTAGTTATTTTTTCTTGTGATAATAAGTAAACATGAAAACCGTTTTTAGTTTCCACATAAGAAATTCCTAAAAAGTCAACCATTAACTTAAAATTTCTTTTCAATCTTTCAATCATTTTTTCACTGTGATTATCTTTTCTGAAATCTAAATCAACAACTTCAAAGAATTTCCGACCAATTAAAGTTCCAGTTCTTAATCCGTATTCACCATGTTTAATTTTCAAATCCTCAATAGTCTCTTTTTCCCGATAACTCAAATCAGCCCAACCTTTCTTTTGTGGAACCTTATTTTTAACTTCTAATCTGATCCGAGCCGTATCAAATCTTTTCAACAAATCATTAGCGGGTGTAAAAAAAAAATTCTTTTCTTTCGCGGGTAGAGTTCTAATTGTGTGCGTGTGTGAAAGCAATTTTGTCTTAACACCAAAATCTTTTTGAGAGTAAATTTTGGTTCAATGTTTAACTAAGCAATCATTTTCACAAAACTTATATTCATTTTCTTTTATTTCTTGCTGAATGCAACCTTGACAATGGGGCTTTTTACAAGCATAATATTTACTTCAAAGGAGGTTTTTTTTGTTAAGATAATAGGACTTTCTTTTACTTAATAACTTTTGCCGGTTATTTTGGTAATAATCACGGTGATAATTCTCCCTATGTTGTCCGTGTTTTGATTTTTTATTTGGTAAGTATCTAGGTTGGAGAACTGATACTTGGTTAACTTCTGCAAGGTTCACTGATTATTAATTCAGCCCCAACCCTCAGTCGGTTTCCAGAACCTTGCAAGAACTTGAAACTAACTGAACCAAGAACCAGGGCTCAATTAATAATCGATATTATATTATTTATTTTTTCTTTCCAATAGTATTCTCAAATAATTCTTCTGAAATTCCTAACCAAAATTTCTTTTCTTTCTCATCTTTCACATAGCCTGCTTTTTTGTCGTCACAGATAGTATTCAAGTCGTGGGCTAATGCTACACCTAATTTTATTGCTTGTTTTTCTTCGTTACTATCTAATGCTCTTTTGCTATACTTGATGATTTCTTTCAAAGAACTAGAATGGGGATTTTCAGCCAAATAGCTAGAAATTTTTTTAATGTCTATTTTGGCGACTATTTCCTTAATTTTTTGGATTTTATTCATGTTAAAAGTGCTTAATGTTTAGTTATTTCCAAAACTTTTTTAATTCTTGATATTCTTCTGAACTCTCAATAAGTTTTTTCATTTCCTCTACTAATTTCTTATGTAAATCTCCATGTTCTTCCTCTTCCGGATAAAAATCGGTCAGAATTGCATGAATTATTTCGTGAGCGAGAACATAAATTAAAGCATTGAAGTCAAACAATTTCTTAAATTGAATTTTCTCTTCATAATAGTGCCTTAGTCCTAACTGATAATAAAGAAATAATTCGTTTAGGTAAATAGTGCTAGTGAGAATAGGAAAATTATCACCAAGAACTAGCAGAGGTTCTCTTCGGTGAAATCCTCTTTCTATTTCGCCTTGTCCTGTTTCTTCGTTAAGGTAAGGTTTTTCCGGTACAAAACCACCAAATCTAATTACTGGTTCTACTTTTAATTTTCCATAATATCAACCTTTTTCTTCCCGAAAACGGCGATAATAAGTAGTAGTAAGATAATCGAATAATCTTTCACCTAATTTGTCTTTCCTTTCTCTGTCCGACATACTTCTTTTACTTTTCCAGTTTTTCTATCTCATGTTCAGTAAAGACTATGAGTAATTACTTGAAAATTCTTACTATTATCTATTACTGAATTAGTTTGTTTTTTACTTACCATAATACCTAATTTTATGCCCGCTTTTCTCCTTATTTCTTGCTTTCCACCATCTTTCCTCAAAAACATCTAAAACATTGACTTCCTAAATGTTGTGAACCACCGATGCTTTCGGCTTGACACTCACTACAAATCATGCTAACAAAACTTAACTTTACCTTATGAATTTTATACTTTCTTAACTCAACTTTTTCTCCAAATTTCGCTTGCTTTTTTCTTAATTTATAAGCTCGTTGTCTTTCAGCATTATTAGAATATTTTTGAGGTCTCCCCCCGGTTTTTCCTCATTCGCTTAATTGTTGTGAACTAACCTTAACTCCTCCTAAAATCTCATGCTTTTTCTTTGTCTTTTTAAGAAAACTCGGAGTAAACTCCTTGTTTTTCCCTGGCTTTGGCATTAACTCTTTATACTAATAAAGAGAGACAAAAGCCTTTTATAAAACTAAGCACTAAGTCCTTAAAAACTACTATTCCCAAGTTAAAGATAATTACTAATTAAAGGCTTTTTAGGGCTATTTTCTTAGTAAATTCCTTAAATAAAAGTTACTATTATTACTACTTTCCTCACTTCTTTTTATTAGTTTCTCATTTATCTCAACAAGTTAAACAAGAATTCATGGTGGCTTTTTGGTTTTGCTTATCAAAAAGCTCTCAATATTCTTGACCTTTTTTAAAAGGTTTTTTACAATCTGAGCATTTATTTAAATCTCAACATTGGGGCATTTGGTTTTCGTTCATAATCTTTAATTTTTTAAAAAAAAGAAAGAAGCAAAGAAAATTTTTCCGGACTTTTTTAATCTTTGGGGGGGATTTTTACCGGTCAATAGGAATAAATATTTACTAATTAATTAAAATATCTGTTTTTATAGGAAAATTTATTGATTTTTTGCTACTTTTTTAATAAATGAGTATTGAAGTATTAGAATTAAGAAAATATGAGTGAATTTATAAGGAGATTGTTAAGAAAAATACTAAGAGCCAGCCAAAAAGAGATTTTGGACTTGGTTTAAAAGTAAATTCGTTTTTAGGAACGAGATATTATTTTCTTTTGCGTTTATAGGCGATAAAACCTATCGCTAATGCCAGCAAAAGGATTAAAAAAAAAAAAAAAACATTCTCTTTTGTAAAAAGATTATTTGAATTATTTGTTTGATGAGGATTATAAGAAGGGTCAGGAATAGGGTCAGGAATAGGGTCAGGGTCAGGAATTTCTCTTCGTTGTTTTTCCTCAGCGATAATTTGTTTATTTTTTTGGATTTGTTGTTGCTTAATTTGATTATCTTGCGGAGAAAACAGATAAGAAAAATCCTTAGATAATTGATTAAAAATCCATGAACCCTCCTCGAATGCTTCTTCCAATAAATCTAGTTCTTCATCAGTAGGGGAAATTCCTTTCTCTTGCCAATTTTTCCAAAACTCCTCAATCCTTTCAAAACCCAACTTAAATACGTTTAACGACAAACTAATATCATTATTGTCAAAATAAGAAAGTCTATCATTGTAAATTTCTTTTGCCGAAAAATAAACCTCCTTAATCTCCTGTAAAGAAATATTGTGTTTAAGAAGTTTTAATCTCAATCCATTTAACTTAACAAAATCATTTAGAGCCACATTTACATAATTTTACAACCGCCTTGATGGCTTTTACACTCTTCAACATAAGCATCATACACCCTTCTCTGCTCTCTTATTTGAGCCTCCATCGCTGATTTATATTCAGATCTTTCTGAATTTAATTGATTAACCAAATAACTAGTCTGAGATTTCAATTCATCAACAATTTTGCTATAACCTTTTTCCATAATGCTTAATTTAGAATTCATTTGGTCAGCCATCTCTCTCACCAATTTTTCATCTCTCTGTGTCTGTTGGTTAGTTAAATTATTCAAACTTTCCTTATATTCCCTTTGCATCCTTTCTTCTCTTTTACGTGCCTCAGCATCAGCATTTCTCGCTCTTTCTTCCGACTTTCTTAACTTCTCATTAAGATCATCCATTTGCTTTTGAGTCCTTTCTTTATCGCTCATGTGATTTCTTATTCTCTCATTAGCTTCATCAAGATTGCTTGGTCGATAAATTTCTTCACAATTAAACTTTAAATGGTTTCTCAATATTTCTCTACATTCAGCTCGTGTCTTTAACTCTGGATCTTCATCCTCAGTCATATTATTCACATGTATAACTTTCTTGCAAGAACGAATTATATCAGCGATATCTTCACTTTCTTTAATCATAGTTTCTTTATCAGCACGACATCTTTCGGCTCGGCGAAAGGTAGGAAATTTTGTTCTTACAATCGTAGTATATTTTCCTATATCTTCATTAAAAAAAACTGTACGAAGTAAAGTGTAAGCCTTTATTTCTTCATCAGTAAATCGACCACTTGTTACAAAAAGAATTTGATTTAAGCCTTTTTTAATAGCATTAGCGGCTTCGGCTAATTTAAGTAATACTTGCTGCTCACTAAGACTTGTATCACCAATCCCAATTGTATCAATTATGTGATATACAATATCATCATTCTTAGGTTTAAATCATCCTTGCTGAATATTTCTTGTTTCACTCGCTCCCAACTCACTTTCCTTAAATTTACTAGTATTACTCATTACATTCGCTATTGTTGATTTGCCACTACCGGTTCTTCCCAGTAATAAAATTGTTCTTTTTTCTGTCATATTTTTAAAAATTTATTCTTTGTTTTCACTACTAATTAAGCCAGTAGTTAAGCGTTTAAAGTTCTTTGGTTAACTCAGGTTTAGCCTAAGTTGATTGATATTTGCTTAATAACGCCTAAATTTTTGCTTACTATAAATAAAAGCTTGAAAGAAT